CAAGTTTAATTTATAATTTAAATTTGACTGTACTTGATTTTTTTTAATTAAATTTTTAACTCAAGCTTAAACTCAAGTCAGGTTCAACTTGAATTTTGCCCGAGTAGCGTAATTCATTCACAGCTCTAATTTTTTTTGGGTATGTCTGAATGAATTATATAAGAAACGATAATTTTTTTTAATTTTTAAATTTAATTTTTATTTAACTTAAAATTTAAATTTAAGATTTTTAATTTTTAATTTTTAATTTTTAATCATTAAATCATCTATTGAAATTCATACAGTTCTAATAACACATTATTTTTGAAGTCTTAATGACTACTAGAAGAATGTTGGAACTGCAAAACTAACAAACTGAAGGTTGAGGACCAACTCATACTTTGAGCCAAAAATTAAGGACAAAAGAAGGCAATTTACCTTAGACGGAGAGAAGAAAACATTTGTACGATTCATGTGCTAAAGTATAATTAAAGTAAAAGCTGTCACCGACCGTGAACCGGATAATTGTCCTTGGGTGCGGGGCACAGAAGATTTAGACATATAAATTTGAAGTAGTTTGCAAAGTAGTGCAATTTGCATCGCACGTTATCACGAAAGAAGTTTGAAATGTGATTTGAAATCCGATCTTACCAATAAACAGCAATAAGGCAGTCTTTTCAACTATAAGGGTTGCCTTTCGCTGTTTATTTGGTGGGAGTATAAGTTAAAAGATGTTAGACACAAATGATGTAAAGTTAAAAGATGTACCAGACAACCCATAAAGTAAAAGACAATCATGTAAAAAAAAGACAATAAAAAAGAAAAAGACACCCCTATTGAGGTTCTCAATAATTTGCAATACTGACATCCATTGCCTGTTTTCAAAAAAAAAAAAAAAACATAACTTTAGTAACTTCAATAAGTCATTGCCTATTTTCAAAAAAAAGGCATAACTTTAATGAGTCCTTGCCTATTTTAAAAAAAAACACGTAACTTTAATAAGCTGTGCACTAGTGGTATGAAATATGAACTTAGGAGTTTGAAATTTGATTTTGCATCCACACCCCTGCGCGTACCAAATATAATTAATTCTTCAAGGTAATTTTGAGAAAATTCCTATGAAGTGTATATCTTATACTTTTACTTTCATTAAGATATTAGTAAAAATATTCTAATTAGATCTATTATATGGGTATTAATATTTTTT